GGAATAGTAGTAATAGTAGTAATAATACAGTAGTGACTATTTCCTGATACCTATCATGTAACAGGGCCATACTACCCTATTTGTATTTTAATTTCTTCCCACAAAAATCCTGAGATTTGTAGCCTGTGAGGCAGCTGAGGGGCAGGAAGGTTGAAGTCCTTGCCCAGGGCAAATAACCCAGTCGGGATATTTGACAAATGCAACCCCCAATTGCATTCTTACCGACACAGGATTATGGCCTTTTACTCAAGTGGGGGCGGGGGGCTCCCTCCCTCCCAAGGCGGCCCATGCCCTAGGGTAGTGGTTGGCAAACTGTGGCTCGCGAGCCACATGGGGCTCTTTGACCCTTTGAGTGTGGCTCTTCCATAAAATACCATGGCCTGGGCAAGTCTATTTTGAAGAAGTGGCGTTAGAAGAAGTTTAAGTTTAAAAAATTTGGCTCTCGCCGAAACCAGTTTGGCTCAGTGGTAGAGCGTCGGTCTGTGGACTGAAAGGTCCCAGGTTCGATTCCGGTCAGAGGCATGTACATTGGCTGCGGGCACATCCCTGGTAGGGGGTGTGCAAGAGGCAGCTGGTCGATGTTTCTCTCTCATCGATGTTTCTATCTCTCTATCTCTCTCCCTTCCTCTCTGTAAAAAATCAATAAAATATATTATTAAAAAAATTGGCTCTCAAAAGAAATTTCAATCGTTGTACTGTTGATATTTGGCCCTGTTGCCTAATGAGTTTGCCGACCACGGCTCTAGGGTGAGTGTCAACCTGAGAATTGACTCTGAGTGATGTTCCCCCATGAATCACGCCTCAAACTGTTGGGAAGGTCTTTAATGAGGCCCAAGTCTCTCCCTCTGACACCCTACACCTGGGCCTCCTTGTCCCACCGCTGGACTCTGAATGGGTGGGCGGATGGGTTCTAGAGAGAAGCTTCTGCCTGACATGCCATTGGCTGTGCCTCACCCACCGCACACGGACACACAGCTGCAAGGCTGGTGACTTCCTCCACCTTTGAAGGAAGGAACGCTTGGGGCCTGGGAGAGCCCTCCCGGCCTGCCTCGCTTCTTCCCGAGGGAAAGCCTGAGCTGGCAGCAGCTCATTCCGTGTGTGGACTCTCACTCTGGCAGCTCTCAGGCCACAGGCAGCCGTCAAGTTCACAACTGAAAATAAAAGAAATCCACTCATCTGTTTTGAAACACTCAAGCAATAAATGAATGTACAATCTTTATTTTAAAACATTGAAACAAAAAATTCGCTTGCCTCCTGGCCAAATCCCTTCCTCTTCTAGAAGTTTCTCAGGAGGCCCTGAGCTGCTTACACCTGGGTCCTTCCAGACTTTTTCCCATGCTTTTCCATAGCGATTGCTGTGCAGATATGGAGAGACAGGCAGTGTACGCTGCTGGGCTTTTACATACACGAGATCCTCTTGGGTGTGTTGTTCGGCTGCTCGCTTTGTTCACTTGACAATATATCCATTCCAGAGGACACAGTCATACGGACCTACCTCATTCGTTCATCACCCTCCCTCCCTCCTTCCCCTTGCCTACCACCCCTTTCTCCCTTTCATAGGTACCAGCTCCCTACCCTATAATACTCAGTAGATACCATGCAAAGTCTCTCTTTCTTCCTGTCAATAACTACCAAATCCACCTTTCCACTTTGCTTTTGGTTTTCATTTAGTAATTCACTCAGGAGACCTTTTCAATTAGCAATAAAGAGTTGCCTCGGTCTTTCAAATGGGTACAATTGCCCCATGTGTGGATGAAATGTAATTTATGGGACTAGTCCCCTAATGATGGACATTCCGTTGTTTCTGTCACATGGGCTACAGGAATAGCCTCCTTGTATCATCACATTGTATCATCACATTGTATCATCATATTGTATCATCACATTGTATCATCACGTTGTATCATCACATTGTATCATCACGTTGTTTCATCACGTTGTATCATCACGTTGTATCATCACATTGTATCATCACATTGTATCATCACATTGTATCATCACGTTGTATCATCACATTGGTGTGGAGAGAGCCTCCGGGTTCTTTGTCAGAACTGTATGGTATTGCACTCTGGCTATCGCCTGATGCTTTAGCCAGCCCCCTACTACTGGACATGTGGGGGGGGGGTGTTTTCTGCCTTTTGCTCTTAGACACAAGGCTCTGATTAGTTTACATATTTAATTTTGGGGTATTTAAAAATATTTTTAGCCAAGACCGGTTTGGCTCAATGGATAGAGCGTTGGCTTGGGGACTGAAGGGTCCCGGGTTCGATTCTGGTCAAGGGCATGTACCTTGGTTGCGGGCATATCCCCAGTAGGGGGTGTGCAAGAGGCAGCTAATCGATGACTCTCTCTCATCGATGTTTCTAACTCTCTATCTCTCTCCCTTCCTCTCTGTAAAAAATCAATAAAATATATTTTTAAAAATAATAAAAAAATAAAAAATAAAAATAAATATTTTTATTGACTTCAGAGAGGAAGAGAGTGAGACAGATAGAAACATCAATAATGAGAGAAAATCATTGATCAGTTGCCTCCTGCACGTTCCATACTCGGGATCGAGCCAGGAACCCAGGCATGTGCCCTTCAGTCTGCAGGCCGATGCTCTATCCACTGAGCCAAACCAGCGAAGGCTAATTTGGGGGTATTTTAATTGGAGGATAAATCCCAGAAGTGAGGCACCCAGTCAAGGGTGCATGCCGTTGTCGGTGTGGTGCTCACTGCCACGCCACCCTCCGTGTGAGCTGTGCCAGTGTGCCCTCCCATCAGCAGGGAGGACAGGAGCCCCAGACAGCCTCACTTTGGTGCCTTTCTCTCCTTCTTTCTAGATGCCAGCCACTCCCCTGGCAGCTCCGACGGGCCCTCCCTCCAGGAAGAAGCAGCTGACGTTGGACGATGACCTGGATGCTCAGGGTCCCCCCCGGAAGCAAGCTCGAAGTGGACCCCAGCCCAGGCTGCCCCCCTGCCCTCTGCCCCTGAGCCCACCCCCTGCGCCAGCCCGTGCCCCCGCTGTGACCACTCCCTCCCGGCTGGGGCCCTATGTCCTCCTGGAACCCGAGGAGGGCGGCCGGGCCTACCGGGCCCTGCACTGCCCCACAGGCACCGAATACACCTGCCAGGTAATGCCCCAGGGGCCCTCCCCCGGCATCACCGGGGCTGGAAAGAGCCAGGCTGCAGAGGGCTGTCAGGCCTGAGGGACCCTTCTAGTCACTCAGTCCTGTGTTTACTGGGAAGGCAGCCAGTGAGCCCCCACTCTCTGTCAAGCCCCAGGCTGGACTGTGTGTGACCAGAGAGGTAAACCAGATGGTCCCAGCCCTGGGAATTCATAGCTTAGGTCCCCATGATGGATCCAGGTTGCAGGGGTGGAGCTTAGGGACCAGGAGAGCAGAGGGGAAGGGCCTCTAAGGTACTGAAAGGGGTGTCAGAAAAGACAGGAGCTAGCTGGGGAGAAGCGGGAAGAGGGAGGCCCAGGCGGGAACAGCTGTGCAGAGAGGCCTGGAGGGGAGAGAGCAGGGAGCTTCAGGGCATTCACAGGACTTCACAACGGCCACGTGGAGAGGGTGTGCAGTCCGGGCAGGAGCGGGGCTGACAGCCACTGGGCATGACCACTAGAGAGGACCTCCTGTGGGAAGCCACGGAAGACATTGGCACAAGACAAGGGTGAGATATGCCGAAACCGGCTTGGCTCAGTGGGTAGAACGTCCGTCTGCAGACTGAAAGGTCTCAGGTTCGATTCCGGTCGGGGGCATGTACCTTGGTTGCAGGCACATCCCCGGTAGGGGGTGTGCAGGAGGCAGCTGATCGATGTTTCTGACTTTCTGTCCCTCTCCCTTCCTCTGTGTAAAAAAATCAATAAAATATATATTTAGAGAGAGAGAGAGAGAGAGAGAGAGAGAGAGAGGAGATAGAGTAGGCATCAGAGCTACTGGAATTCTGGATATGGGGGGACCTAACCGACGGCCATTTTACAAATACAGACTGAGGTCGGGAGAGGAGAAGGGTCATGCATGAATCCACATAACATTGGGCCTGGCTTCCTAGGGCAAGGAGCAGGGTTCTAGGCCGAAATCAGGAACCAGGCAGGACCAAGGCCCCATGAGGGTCAGGCCCACACAAGACATTGGCAGGCCACAGCCCACAGAGATGAGAAGGTATTACACGGGTGTTTGCTGTGCACCAGGTCCTGTGCTGCTTGCTCAGTGTGAGCAATAATCTCTTCTCAGGATCTATGAGGTGGTTACTGTTATTGGGCCCGTTTATAGGTAAAGGACACCGGGGCTCAAAAAGATGCCGTCACTTGCCCCATCACCGAGCCAGGCGGGGTCAGAGCTGAGAGTGGGCCCCGGCCGGCTGAGCCCAGAGCCACGTGGCCCGTGCTGGGACACGTGGTTCGGACACAAGCAGAGCAGATCTGCTCCCGGTGGGCAGAGGCGTGGGCGGTAGGGGAGACCCGGGCACATACTAACGAGGGAGGGGGAGGAGGGGGCCTGGGTCCCCTTGGGGATGAACAAGAAGCAAGAGGACCTAAGGCTCCCCCGGGAGCAGCAGCAGCTGGCTCCAGCTCCTGCGGATGGGGGTGCGGTGGACAGGGAGACGGATCTGGACAAGTGGTCCGGCCATCAGCTTTATCGGGGCTCTGAGCTGCCTGGTGCAGCTCCCCGGTGCTCTGCCCCAGATACTATAAGGGGCCCCCGACCTGTGGGTCCCCTTCCGGCAGCACCAGGGTTCCTTCCTGTTCCCACCGGGGAGGAAGTCCTCGCTGAGGGGAATGACCAACGTGAGCTGGAACCAGAGCCGCAGGCTTTCCTGCGGCCCCGATTGTTTAGGAGCATTGAGAAGCACGAGCTGCGGGGGCTGGCCTGTCATTGGCTGTACCTGTCATTTCCACACGCCTGGGGTCTTTTGGTCAGGGTGTGCAGAAAGAGCAACAACCTGCCTTTGTAGATTGTCGCCGAATTCATTAATTGACTTTTTACAGAGAGGAAGAGAGAGGGATAGAGAGTTAGACACATCGATGAGAGAGAATCATCCATCAGCTGCCTCTGGTTGCGGGCACATGTACCTACTGGGGATGTGCCTGCAACCAAGGTACATGCCCTTGACCAGAATCGAACCCGGGACCTTTCAGTCCGTAGGTCGTTGCTCTAGCCACTGAGCCAAACCTTTCAGCTTAATTCATTAATGGAACAAACCTGTGAGTCCCTGCGAGCACCATGCTGGGGCTAAGAAAGGTCTGCTGAAACCGGTTTGGCTCAGTGGATAGAGCGTCGGCCTGCGGACTGAAAGGTCCCGGGTTCGATTCGGGTCAAGGGCATGTACCTTGGTTGCGGGCACATCCCCAGTGGGGGGTGTGCAGGAGGCGGCTGATTGATGATTCTCTCTCATTGATGTTTCTAACTCTCTATTCCTCTCTCTTCCTCTCTGTAAAAAAAAAAAAAAAAAAAAATCAATAAAATATATTTTAAAAAGAAAAGAAACAAAGATCTGCCGATGTTTCCTCCGGCTGGGTTCTGTGAAGGACTTGGGCAGCAAACAAGGGACTAGGTATCCTTTATGCCAGGTGATCCTACGTGCTATGGAGCCGGCAGAGAGGGGACCGGGGACAGCGGACAGTCTCCGAGGTCCGGCCGGGCTCGGTGCGGTCCCCTGTGCTCACGCCATGCTCCGCCCACAGGTGTACCCGGCCTGCGAGGGCCCCAAGGTGCTGGCGCCCTACGCGCGGCTGCCCCCGCACCCGCACGTGGCGCGGCCCGCGGCGGTGCTGGCGGGCGCCCGCCGCCTCTACGCCTTCTTCCCGCGGCCCCGCGGCCACCTGCACGGCCTGGTGCGCCTTCGCCGCCTGCCCGAGCCCCAGGCCGCCGCGCTCTTCGGCCAGATGGCGGCCGCCGTGGCGCACTGCCACCGGCACGGCCTGGTCCTGCGGGACCTCAAGCTGCGGCGCTTCGTCTTCACCGACAGCGAGAGGTGAGTGTGGCCGGAGAGGCCGCCCGAGGGGGCCCTGCTGGGGAGACCGAGCTCAGGGAGGCGGAAGGGCCGCAAGGACCAGCCCCACGGCCCGGCTCCGGGGAGGAGGTGGGCCCAGTCCTGGGGGAAGCCCCTTGGGGAGGAGCACGCACTGCCTTTGTGGCTAATCCTCGCCAGAGCGTGTTTTTCCATCAGTTTTTATTTTATTTATTAAAAATATATATATATAATTGATTTTTTTACAGAGAGGAAGGGAGAAGGATAGAGAGCTAGAAACATAGGATGAGAGAGAAACATCGACCAGCTGCCTCCTGCACACCCCCCACTGGGGATGTGCCCGCAACCAAGGTACAAGCCCTTGACTGGAATTGAACCTTTTAGTCTGCAGGCTGATGCTCTAGCCACTGAGCCAAACCGGCCAGGGCAGCACTGCCTTTGTGACAGCAGTGACCGTGATGAAGAGCATCGCTGCTCTGCCTGACGCGGCCTGGGTCCTTACACACATGAGGTGGACACTGGGACTGTCCCTGTGTGGCAGGTGAGGAAGCTGAGACCCAGAGAGGTCCATAACCTAAGGCCCTACAGCAGAATAATACAAAGCTGGGATTTGTCCCTGGATGTGACTTCAGAGCCAGGGCCCTCGCTCTCTCTGAACATGAGATGTGGGAGGCCTGACTGGGTGACCTGCAGACTCTGGGTGGCCCAGGGTGTCCAGACCTTCGTTTCCCGATTGGTAGGGGAGAGGCTGGATTGCCAAGATGTCTCCAGGATTTCAAGGTCACACACAACTCGGGGCCACTGCCGAAATGCGCCCTGAGTTTCCCCCACAGGAACCTTTTCCTCTAAAACGGAAAGTCAGTGATTTTTGGAGAGGGAACAGACAGGGACCTGGCGTCCTGTTCCTATCCCAAACCTTGGACTTTGCAGGATGTGTCAGGGCTTGAATGTGTTTCTCTCAGAGTCTCGGTTTCAAATCCAATTGCTCTGTGACCCCGAGCAATGGCTTAACCTCTCTGGGCCTGGGCCTCCTCATCAGCACAGTGAGTGAGCTCAGGGACCCAGCCAGCAGGACTGTCTGGTGTCTGCCAGGCCCTGGGGAAGCCGGTGACCAGCAGGGAGACAGGCGGGGTGGGGGTGGGCCTCCCAGCAGGAGCTGACCGCTGCCCCATCCCTGCACAGGACCCAGCTGGCGCTGGAGAACCTGGAGGACGCCTGCGTGCTGACCGGGCCGGACGACTCGCTGTGGGACAAGCACGCGTGCCCGGCCTACGTGGGACCCGAGATCCTCAGCTCCCGCGCCTCCTACTCGGGCAAGGCGGCGGACGTCTGGAGCCTGGGCGTGGCGCTCTTCGCCATGCTGGCCGGCCGCTACCCCTTCCAGGACTCCGAGCCCGCCCTGCTGTTCCGCAAGATCCGCAGGGGGACCTACGCCCTGCCCCGGGACCTCTCCGCCCCCGCCCGCTGCCTGCTGCGCTGCCTGCTCCGCCGCGAGCCGGCGGAGCGTCTCCCGGCCTCGGCGATCCTGCTGCACCCCTGGCTGCGAGGGACCCTGGCCCCCCCAGGCCCACCCCGAGCCCCCCTCTGGGAGGCTGACCAGGTGGTCCCCGAAGCGCCGGGGCTGGAGGACGCTGAGGCAGAGGAGGGAGAAAGGGAAGAGGGCCTGTATGGCTAGGACCACCCACCCGACGCTCAGCTGTGAACTGTGGGTTGAGTCTGGGGCGTCCCCGAGCTCCCTCCTGCCTCTCTGAACTGAGATAAACCCTACGTGCCTTCTGGGAGGGAGAAAAGGGGAGGCGTGCTGACGTGTGCTGTAGGCACGCCCGTGTGGCTCGCACGCCTGTGCACACGGGCTGGTGCATTCCACACGTCTTTGTGGGGAGCTCGCTGTGCGCCTTGCCCCAGGTGCTGAGAACGCAGCTGTGGACGGAGACAGCACTCCTGCCCGCGGGGCTGTCCGTGCTCCTCCTGCCCACAGGCCAGCGTCTGCCCTGGGCGGGGCGCTCACGGACAGTCCCTTCCAGACCCACCGCGGCCTTCGTATGCCGCGCCTCTGAGAGGAAGGGCAGCGTCCGTGCCAAAGCCTCAGGCCCCTTCCCTGCGCCTCCGGCCCCGAGCCCAGGCCCCGCTGCGAACTCGGCTCCGGCAGCCGCGTCCTCTGGGCCAGAGGAGCCTCTGTCCAGGCCGGAGCCACGGATCTGGGCGGGAAGACCGAGAGTCCAAACCGTGAGGCGGGTCCTCATCCAGCTCAAGGAGTGGTTTGGAATGAGGGTCCAGGCCTGCCCGTCTCAGCAGCCCGTGACCTGAGCTGCTGCCTGGAGTCGGGACGGGATTAGGTGGGGTCTGCCCCTGGCCTCCTGCAAAGGCCTAAGTCCAGTTCTGGGGACTCTTGGGGTCCCGAACCCCACATCAGCATAGGTTTATATAGGTTTGGGATGCTCTGAGTATATATTTTTACCTTGTGCCTAATAAAGGAGCTATGGAATACGTTCATCTCTCCCAGGCAGTTCTTCTGGCCTCTCCTCAGTTTTCCCAAACCAGCCCCACGGCGCGTCCTCCGCCCTCCCTCCCGTTCTTCTGGAGGCTGTGGGTCTCACCGGGGGTCAGTTTTGGCTGCAAGAACCTGAAACCCTGAGTCAAAGTAGCTTAAAGCAGAAGGAAATGTGTTTCACACACGAAGTCCACAGGGGGGTGGTTTCAGGGCTGGCTGATGCAGAAGGCTCCGGCCTGTCTGCCTCTTCGCTCTGTTGTCCCTGCTGTCAGAGACATCTGTGCCCTGAGGAAAGAGGGTGGCGCTGTCCCACTGCAGAACTTGGTGCCTAGAGTCAAGCTGCGTGGTGTCTCCGGGCCTCAGTCTGCTCCCTTCCTCTCTGTGTGGCTGGACCTGGAGCCTCTTCTGGCACTTGTCAGAGCAGGCCTGCCCGCCCCTGCGCCACCGCAGCCCTCATTAAAAATGCAGATACTTGCCGGGATGGTGTGGCCCAATGGTTGAGAGTTGTCCTATTATGAATTAGGAGGTCAAGGTTCAATTCCCAGTCAGGGCACATGCCCAGGTTTGGGCCTCAATCATTCCCAGTGCGGGTGAGCAGGAGACCGTTGATCAATGATTCTCTCTCATCATCGATGTTTTTTGTTGTTTTTTCTCTCTCCCTTCCTCTCTAAAATAAATATACATTTTTAAAAATAAAAAATAAATGCAGATGTGGGCTGTGCGGGAGGGTTGTCTGCCTCCTAACAAGCCTCTTCGTGGTGGCTGCGCATTCTAGTTGGAGAGCCTCTGCATTGGGAGAAATCCTGATGACTTAGGGTAGGGGTGTCAAACTCAGAGAAGGGGCCAAAATCTAAAATCCAGCCTAAATCGCGGGCCGAATGGTTTACTGAACAGTCATAAACTGTCATTGTAATGGAAACGCAGCGGAGTGCAGTGATGACAGTGCGGTGCGGGCCACATTGCAAGGCCTGGCGGGACGAATTTGGCCCGCTGGCCTTGTGTTTGACACATGTGACTTAGGGACTCAGCTCATGTCAGCTCTTTAAAAAAAAATATGTATTTTATTGATTTTTTACAGAGAGGAAGGGAGAGGGATAGAGAGTTAGAAGCATTGATGGGTCAGAAACATCAATCAGCTGCCTCTTGCATATGCCCGAAACCAAAGTCCATGCCCTTGCCCGGAATCGAACCTGGGACCTTTCAGTCCGCAGGCTAATGCTCTATCCACTGAGCTAAACTGGTTATGGCTCCTTCTTCAGTGTTTCCCAAACTTCTCTCATGATGAGTATCACCTGGTGGAGTTGTTAAACTACAAATTCCTGAATCCCAACTAAGAAGTGCTAAACTGGAATTTTTGGGAACATATAGGTAAAATTGTATACTTAACTAGTGCTCTAAGCTTAGTTTTGTGTTTGACTCCAGCTCAGATGTAAAATGGGTATTAATTCTACCTGCCTGAGAGGCTAGGATGGGGTCACAGGTGTGGGGGAGGGCTTTATCAGAGGTCAAACTCTGAGCCACTGTGGCGAGCCGGCCCGGCCATGGCATGCTCAGCCCCAGGGCTCCTTATGTGCCGTGCCAGTTCAGCCAGGTTCAGTGAGCCCAAGTGGGGGCGGTGAAGGATTGAGAAAAGACAGACAAATGAATGAAAGCTGGGTCTCAGTGGGACGCTGTCCTCTAATGGAGAGACAGCGCCAGTGCCACGGACTACAAGCCATGTCTTTATTTTACAGCCAGATTTCACAAGGCAAAGTAAGGGCGTGGCCAAGATGTTTACAACATTATCGGGGGTTCGATCCCACCCAATTAATGCACCTGAACTCCATCCAGCCCACATCACTCAGGCACGTGGGGCCACGCGTTCGGACCGTAGGTTCAAGCTCACAACCACAGCTGTTGGCTATCATTGTGCTGGGAGGGCTCTGCCCCCCAAGCTGGGACATGCACGTGGCCATGAGAGGACTGTGCCCTCTCATCAGTCCGAGGCTTGAACCTGTGCAAACACTAGCTGCTCCCCACAAGCCACCACGACTGTCGTATCAGCTTTATGGGGAGAGACCTGTAGCCCTCATCCTCTCATCATCCTCTCCCCGCTTCCCTGCCTTTGTGGTTCTCCATAACACTTAGGGGCCCCCCCCCCCCCCCAGCAGATCATTCTAGATGTTTGTTTGTGTTAGTTTCATACTATATTTTGTTTGCTATTGTTCCCCCAGCTCCTAGGCCAGTGCCTGACACACAGCTGCTCAGTGTCTGCTGAATGACGGAATGGAAGCAGTTACTGTGTGGATCCCACACGCCTAGAGCAAAGCCAGCACACGCATTAGGAATGGTTAATGTTTACTGTGAGCACATACTAGTACCACGTGCCAGGCACGGTTTTACATACATTCTCTCTTTGGACATGTGGTAGCCAGCCTTGTGTCCTTGGTCCTCGAGACCCGGAGTGCATGCCCTTGTGTAGTTCCCTCCCAGCCTGAGCGGGGCTGACCAGTGTAACCAATAGAAGGCTGTGAACATGATGAAGTATGACTTTGCATGTTAGGCCATAAAATATTCTGTGGCTTCTGCCTTGATGCCTATATCATCTGCTCTGGGGAAAGCCAGCTGCCATGGGACTAGGACACGCAAGTCACCCATGGAGAGGTACACGTGGTGAGGGACGCAGCATCCGGCACTAACCAGCTCCAGCCAGGCATATGAGTGGGCTTTCCTGAAAGTTCGTCCTCCTGCCCCATCGAGCTTTCGGATGATTGAGGCCCCAGCTAAAGTCCTAACTACAACTTCATGAGAGACCTTTAGTCAAATGACATCAGAAACTGATCCCAAATTCTTTTTATTTTATTTTAAAACATATAATATATTTTATTTTATTTTATTTTATTTATTTTTTTTTACAGAGAGGAAGGGAGAGGGAGAAAGAATTCAAAACATCAGTGAGAGAGAAACATCAGTCAGCTGCCTCCTGCACACCCCCCACTGGGGATGTGCCCGCAACCAAGGTATATGCCCTTGACGGGAATTGAACCTGGGATCCTTGAGCCCGCAGGTCGACACTCCATCCACTGAGCCAAACCAGTTAGGACTGCTCCCAAATTCTTAACTAATAGAAACTGTTGTTTTTAAGCTGCTAAGTTTGGGGATGATTTGTTACAATCAATAACCAATAACTGATACAGATCCTCACAGCAACCCTACATCATGACCACCATTGTACAGAGGGAAAAACTGAGGCCCAGAGAGGGCGGCTGTTTTGTCCGGAGTCACTCAGATAGTGAACCGAGGGACTGAACCCAGGCTCGAATGCCTGTAGTTCACCCACCGGGATGAAGGGTCTCTGCCCTCGAAGGGCCAAGGCTGAGACCAGAACGCCTGAAAGACCGCATCTCCGCTGAGACAGATTTGTGCAGGTCACCTCAGGGCTGCAGGGAACATGGCCATCGTACGGCAGCAGGGCCAGCAGGAGGAATAAGGCAATGGGAGTGAAACCCAGCAGAAACAGACATCCAGCGCTCAGGCAGCATATCTATCATACACAAATTATAAAACAAAAAATGTTAACTAAAAACAAAATGTTTACTCACAGGGCTTAAATAAACAACAGACTTGATACTATGACCAAGGATTATATTAATGACATAACAGATTTGAAAACCTAACAGATCCTCTAAAATAAAAGGCACAATAACTAAAATTAAAAACCCAAAAGATTAGATGTGGCTAAAAAGGACATTGCTGAGATAGACGTCAGACATCAATCACAAAATGAAAATGCAAAAAGAGCAAAGATAAAAATCTTAAAGGAGTCAGAAAGGAAAACCAGATCATTTTCACAAGAACAGCCACACAACAGGGATGAACGTCCCAAAACAGTATGCTATGCGAAAGACGGGCAGTCACAAAGGACGATATAAGGTAAGATTTAATTAGTGTAAAATGTCCATAATAGGAAAATCTATAGAGACCAAAAGTAGATTGATACTGAGGGCTGGAGGGTGGCAGATGGGGAGTGTCTGCAATTGGGTATCATTTTTTTTTTTTTTAAGGGGTGATAAAAATGTTCTAAAATTGGATTGTGGTGATGGTCACACAACTCTTAACTGTACTTGAAACCATTAAATTGTACACTTTAGATAGGGGGATCTTATGGTATATAAATTACATCACAGAAAAGAAAAACAAAATAAAATAAATTAAATAGCAATAAAACTGTTAAACAACAACAAAAAAAACACACCTCACAGCAGTCAGACTAACAGGTGATGTCTCAATAGCAAACATGGAAGCTAGAAGACAACGGAATGCTGTCTTCAAGGTGATGGAATGCTACTGGAATTCTATACCCAGTGAAAATGTCTCTCAAGAATGAGGTCTAGCCCTAGCTGGCTTGTTCAGTGGTTAGGGCATTGGCCCACAGACTGCAGGTTCAATCCTCTGTCATGGTTGGGGCATGTGCAGGATGCAACCAATCCATGTGTCTCTATCACATTGATGTTTCTCTCTCTTTGTCTCTGGCCTCATTTCCACTCTCTAAAAATCAATGGAAAATACATCCTTAGGTGAGAATTAACAACAACAACAACAAAATGAGTTCTAAATAAACATTTTCAAACAAAAACCAAGGAAGTTTGTCACCAGGACTCTCCTCAACAGTGGTTCTTAAACTTGGCTTCTCATTACGAACACCAGACAGTGACTTTGGTAAAAACTCCTGACACCTGGGCTCACCCCCAGGGTTTCTGAGTCAATTGACCTGAAATGTGGTGGGGTTTTAGAATTTTTTTTAAAGCTCCCCAGGTGACTCAAAAGTCTAGTTGAGAACCTCTTTTTTTAGCAGGGGTCTTCAAACTTCTCTCATTATGAGAATCACCTGGTGGAGATGTTAAAACACAGATTCCTGATAGCACTTCTTATAGTTGGGATCCGGGAATCTGTGTTTTAACAACTCCACCAGGTGATTCTCATAATGAGAGAAGTTTGAAGACCCCTGTGATACATTTCAGGCAAAAGGAAAGTGATCACAGATGAAAGTGATGATTCAATTTATCTATATAAAAGCCTAAGCAACCAGAACGCCTGGTCACTATAACACATACTGACCGCCAGGGGACAGATGCTCAGTGCAGGAGCTGCCCCTGGTGGTCAGGGTGCTCCTACAGCTAACCTCCTGCAGCCCCTCCCCTGGCCAGCCAACCTCCCAGCATCCCTACTGCCCTGACCCCCAGGGCCAGTTGGCCCTTTCTCCCCGATCGGCCCTGATAGCTGGACAGGGCAAGGGACCCCATCCAGGAATTCACTCACCAGCCGCTAGTTAATCCTATATAATAAAGAGGGAATATGCTAATTGACTGCCACACCCTCAGAGATGGTGGCCCCCAGTCCCGCTGGGGTGGCAGGCACGTGGCATGGCCGGGCCTGCCCCCAGGTGGGTCCTGCTACTCTGTGTGACTGCCTCCGAAGTCCCCCAGTCCCCTCAGGGCCAGCCTGAGGCGAAGGCAAGCCTCAGATGGCAGCTGCCCAGTCAACGCTCAATGTGCAGGCAAGCCTTGGAATGGTGGCTGCCCAGCCATCCAGCGCTGCCCAAGGCTCAGGGAACCAGGGCCGGCCGGGGAGTGGCAGCAGCAGAGGTGTGATTGGGACATCGCCTTCCCCTGATGGCTGGGTCACCTCCTGCCCCTGAGGGCTCCTGGACTGTGAGAGGGGCAGGCCAGGCTGAGGGCCCCCCCTCCAGTGCATGAATTTTCATGCACCAGGCCTCTAGCATACTATAATCCATAAGCACCAGGAACTCAGTAGTGAGCAAAGCAGACAAAAGTGTCTGCCTTCTAGAAGAGGGAAACAGCCAAAAAACAAGATAAATAAATAAAATATGCTGTTACATAGTGATGCATGCTTTGGAGGGTATGGGGAAATGAAGCCAAGAAAGAGGCTATGAAATGCTATATGTAGGTGTGTATATGGAATTTTAGGTAGAGTGGACAGGGAAAACTTTCGGGTAAAGATTGAAATGAAGGGAGAGAGCAAGCCATGAAGATATTTGGGTTATGGCAATTGCAAAAGCCCTGAGGGCGGTGTATGGTCTGTCTTGTCTCTGAACCTAGAGGCCAGTGGGGCTTGAACGCAGTGAGCCAGGTGGGAGAAGGCAAAGGAGAGGAAGCACTTTACAGGCTTTTATTTTTAGTGAGCTGGGAACTGTTGGGGCAGTTTTGAGGAGTGACATAATTTGATTTACATTATTTTTAAATATATTCAATATATATTTTATTGATTTTTTTACAGAGAGGAAGGGAGAGGGATAGAGAGTTAAAAACATCGATCAGCTGCCTCCTGCACACCTCCTTCTGGGGATGTGCCCGCAACCAAGGTACATGCCCTTGACTGGAATCGAACCCGGGACCCTTTAGTCCGCAGGCCAACGCTCTGTCCACTGAGCCAAGCCGGTGAGGGCTTGATTTACATTCTAACAGGGCCCTCTGACAGCTGGGGGAGGGGGAGATGGACTAGGGACCCATGAAGAGGTTGTTGCAAAACACCAGAGGAGAAATGGAGGAACAGCGGGGCGGGCGGAGGTGAGAGGTGACAGACCTGGGTCTCTCCTGCAGGTGGAGCCCACAGGCCACCTGATGACCTATGGGATAAGGGGTGGGAGGAAAATCAAGGCACAGGCTATCAGAGCGTCCAGCCGGTGGCGAGCAAATGCAAACTTAGCGGCCAATGCAAGGGAGAGTGACGCCGAGAGGCGGCAGAGCCTGGCTGGCTCAGGGCGGCGCTGGAACCGACTCTCCGTTTCCTCTTCTGCAGACAAAGCGGAGGACCGCGTCTGCCCGCCGCGTGCCGGGGCTCCCCAGCTGAGGCCCGCCCCGCCCCAGCCCCGCCCTCCCAGAGGGCCCGCCCACCCACACAGGCCCCTCCCCACCCGAGGCCCCGCCCACCGCGGTCCCCGCCCCTCCCAGGGGCCCCGCCCCGCCTCGCCCCGCCCCCCGCGGCGCGGCCGGAAAGGGCAGGGTGGGAAGGCCGAGTCCCCGGGCGGGGGGTGCGGGCGGCGTCCCCCGAGACTGCCGAGGGCGGGCGGGCGCGGGGTACGGTGCCCCGGATCTGGCGACACTCTCCGTCCCACTTCCGGGGCCTCACTTTCACTTTCTCTTCCGCCGAAACCGCTCCCCTCCCCCCCTCCTCCTCGAGGGCAGGGAGTTTGGCGGAACTCCGGGCGCCGGGGGGCGCTCGCCCCGCACACCTTGCGGTCCGGTTTCTCCGTCGCCCTCTGCGGCCGGGCTCGGCGCTTCCTGCCCGCACCTCCCGCGCGGGGTCTGGCCGGCCCTGCCCCAGCCCCGTCCCCGGCGCGGGAGTGTGATGCCCCGCGCCGGCCGGCGGGGACCGCGAGGCGCACCGCGGGCTCGGGCCGCGCCGGAGGCCACGGGCTCGCTCCCCGGGGACCCGGGCCAGCCCTTCCCCGAGCCGCTGCCCCGCCGGGGGTGATGGGAGCAGGCGCGCCCGATGGACGAGAAGACCAAGAGAGGTGGGCACAGCCTGGGGAGCTCCAGGGGGGGGGGTGTGTGTGTGCCCGGACCAGCCTCCCCTGCCCAGAAAGGCCAGGAGAGGGCACTGCCCACTGCCCTTCACTTCCTCCCTGGGGCCGGCTACTTCCGGGGGAGCGGGCCATTCATTTACGCGGGGCCTCCGCGCCCAGAGGACAAGCACACCTTCTGGGGGGAGGCAGACCTCGCCGACCTGAACGCCAAGGGCCCTCGCCTCGCCTCTTGCCCTGCCCCACCTGCTCAATCCTCCTGGGCGTCCCCGTGTTCTTGGAACGAAGCCTGGGGCCCTGGATCGCCCACAGGGCCCTGCTGCTGTCTTTGCTGACCTCACAGCCTTCCTCCATCCACTCTCCTGCTCATTCTGCTGGAGCGCCCCCTCCACACACACACACACACACCCGCACCCGATTCTTTCTGATCTAATCCAACCTTTTCTTGCTCAAGACCCTTGCCCTTACCTTTCTCTCTACCTGGGACACTCTTCCCCAACTGTGTCTTGAAATATCCAGCTCCTCTTTCAGGTCTCAGCTTCAGTGTCACCTCCTCCCAGAGGCCTTCTCTAATCTCACCCTGTTTATTTCCTTGCAAGCATGGATCACAATCTGATTTTTCCCCGTTATTAAACTTGTCTGTGTAATTACCAGGGTGAAACGTACATGAAGAGAGGGACTGTGTTTAGCTAATTTACTGGCTGAATCCCAGTTTCTGGGACAGTGGCTGGCACACAGTAGGAGCTCAATAAGTGCTTGTCAGATAAATGAATGGAAGTATGGGGGACCTGGGAGTATGAAGGAAAAATAGAACCAAATAAGCAGGGAGGGGACTGGGGAGTATCAGAGAAGACTTCCCAGGAAAAGTTAAAAAAAAAATAATTTGTAATTGATTTCAGAGAGAGGAAGGGAGAGGGAGAGATAGAAACATCAATGATGAAAGATAATTATTTATTGGCTGACTCCTGCATGTCCTCAGTGCTCTGACTGGAAATCCAACCCTGACTTCATGGTTCAGAGGTTGACACTCAACCACTGAGCCATTCTGGCCAGACAAGAAGGGGATTTTTAAGCTGGGTGCTGAAGGATATGTAGGAGTTCACCGGGATGACAGAGGAAGCAGCATGTAAAAGGATCACCTTCTCATTCCCTCATCCCAGATCCTGAAAAATGTGCTAACTGGCTTCCACTGTATTGAATTTTAGCCGAGGAGGTGGCCCTGAGACTCAGCCGAGCAGTGGCAGGTGGGGACGAGCGGGTGGCGATGGAGTGTGCCACCTGGCTGGCAGAGCAACGGGTACCCCTGAGAGTGCAACTGAAGCCTGAGAGCGCCCCAACACAGGACATCAGGTGAGGGGGGCCCGGCGGGCCAGGGGCATAGGGCTCACTGCACCCTAGTGGGCCATAATATATTCTTGCCAATAGAACAGTTCGTTTTTTCCCTTTTCCACAGAATTTACTTTATACCTGTTATATCAAACTGCATTTTGTTTTTATTTTTTAAATATATTTTTATTGATTTCAGAGAGCAAGAGAAAGGGAGAGAGAGAAACATCAGTGATGACAGATGACATGGATTGGCTGCCTCCTGCACACATCCTCCTGGGGATCGAGCCCACAGCCCGGGCCTGGGCCTGACCAGGAATTGGGCCGTGAGCTCCTGTGTCATGGGTCAGTGCTCGACCACTGGGCTATGCCAGCTGGGTTACCAAACAGCATCTTAAACCCTGACATAGAAACCCCCCAACAGATAAAGCAAAGACAAAAGCTTTTACCTTCTGAGAAAGGAGATACACCCTCCATCACGTAAATAGTCTTCAAACATTACTGCACTCTAACATCCGTCATTTGACAGTGCGTTCATCAGACAACTAGTTTCAGCAAGTCAAAGGGCACTCTTACGCAGACATGACTCCTAAGTTGTGTACCAGGTGAGAACTTGCACACGTTACTTACATCAGCGGTAACGTGGCGCGGAGAGGCCGGGCCTTCTGCTCACGGTGAGGACCGACCCGCACGTCTCCCTGTGCTGTGGCCGGGTTTGGTGACCCAGCGGGTGTCGGGATTCCTTCTCATGGCCTGATGGAATGGGTCAAAGAGGATAGCCTCAAACTACGTGGAATCTTCACCCCCCAGTGAAAATTCAGGACTCGCCGAAACCGGTTTGGCTCAGTGGATAGAGCATCAGCCTGCGGACTGAAGGGTCCCGGGTTCCATTCCGGTCAAGGGCATGTACCTTGGTTGCGGGCACATCCCCGGTGGGGGGTGTGCAAGAGGCAGCTGGTCTGTGTTTCTCTCTCATCGACGTTTCTAGCTCGCTCTCTCTCCCTTCCTCTCTGTAAAAAATCAATAAAAAAACAATTCAGGACTCTCCGCCCCATTAGAATAGTTAGTTATTCTTCATAGAAGGTTCCAGGGTGTCAGGAGACCTAGCTTCAGACCCCAACTCTGTCACTAATCAACGGAGAAATCTGGGGCAGGTCATTTCACCTCTCAGAGTTTTCATTGTTTGTTTGTTTTCCATTTAAAAAATGGGGCGATGATAGTAGCTATCTCATGGGATTGTTAGGACGCGCTCTCCACTGAGCCAAACCGGCTAGGACTGGGCTTGTGCTTGTATCTGTAAATTAGGGATAACAACAGTACCTGCCTCAGGAGTGTGTTGAGGGGATTAAGTGACTTAATGCATGTCAGGCGCTTTGCAGAGTCTTGGCATGTGGTAAATAACTGGGTGGCTTTGTTGGGAGCAAGGGAGAGAGTGGTAGAAGAGGTTGGAGGGGTGAGGGTCAGTCACAGAGGCCGGTGGGGGCGCAGTGCGTGTGCTTCTTCTAGGAGCAGCGTGGAGCCACTGGAGGGGCGTGAGCAGTGGCTCTGATAGAGGAAGCACGGGAGCTGATACAAGAGTCCAGGCGAGGCCCCTGACACAGACGGGGGATGGTGTGTGTGTGTGTGTGTGTGTGTGTGTGTTTTCATGTCACGCACAGTGCACACACATGTCCATGGGAATAGCTGGCCGCCGAGGTGGGACCTGCCGCCCGAGCCCCTGTTACCCCCAGCCCTCCCCTGCAGGCTGTGGGTGAGTGTGGAGGACCCTCAGATGCACACCGTCACCATCTGGCTCACAGTGCGTCCTGACATGACAGTGGCTTCCCTCAAGGACATGGTGAGTGAGGAGACCGGAGGGAGACACCAGGGCGGCGGCTTCCCGTTTTGCTCTGCTCTGACTCTCCCTTCCCTCTCCCCGCTCCGCCCCTGCAGGTGTTCCTGGACTACGGCTTCCCGCCGGCCCTGCAGCAGTGGGTGCTCGGGCAGCGGCTGGCCCGGGACCAGGAGACACTGCACTCGCACGGCGTGCGGCGGGACGGCGACAGCGCCTACCTCTACCTGCTGTCGGCCTGCAACACCTCCCTCAACCCTCAGGAGCTGCAGCGCCAGCGCCAGCTGCGGATGCTGGAAGGTGAGGTCCGCCCGAGGGGCAGGGCCCGCCGGAGGCCGTGGGGCTCCAGGGGGCAGCGCCCCTGGGCTTTCGGTCAGGCTGGCTGCCCGGAGCCCTGGCTTTGTCAGGCAGGCTGTCTGGGATGACGTCCGGAAGACGTGGCTTAGTTAGCATACACCCTTTTATGAGTATAGATGTCCTTTCTATCAAAGCCCTGGCATTCAGCTGTCCTCTCCGTCCCTTCAGGCTTCCCTGGACCCTCCTGATACTGATGTGCTGAGACTAGTTTTTTCCCCGTCCAGTGTCTCATGAGTGGATCAGTCAGTATTTTGACGGGTCCAGCTCGGAGCCATTTGTCCTTCGGGGTGCCTCCCTGCAGGAGCACAAGAGGCCACTGTTAGGCAGGAGTGTAAGCCCCAGGACACAGGGGCCCTCGTGGGTGGAGGAGGGACTCTGACCTCTGGGCACCAGGACACTCAGCCAGGTCTGGGTCTGCCCGGCAGGACCAAGCGGGAGACTCCTCCAGGGAGGAGGGAGAGGATAGGAGGGCGTGGGGTGCGGGGGTGGGTCCTGGCTGGCCACGGGGTGTGGATGAAGTGGGAGAGGAGGGAGAGGTTGCAGGGATGCACCAACTTCTACCCTCTCTCCTAGATCTGGGCTTCAAGGACCTCACGCTGCAGCCCAGGGGCCCACAGGAGCCGGCACCTCCGAAGCCGGGGGCCCCCCAGGAGCCCGGTCAGGGGCCCGACCCCGTTCCCGAGCCCCCACCGGTAAGCGCCCCTGGTCCCTGCCTCCCCCTGCCTGGCCTCGGCGCGCCGAGCTCACGCCCTCTGTCCCCAGGTGGGCTGGCAGTGCCCTGGCTGCACCTTCATCAACAAGCCCACACGGCCCGGCTGCGAGATGTGCTGCCGGGCGCGGCCCGAGACCTACCAGGTGCCCGCCACGTACCAGCCGGATGCGGAGGAGCGCGCGCGCCTGGCCGGCGAGGAGGAGGCGCTGCGCCAGTACCAGCAGGTGGGCAGGGTGCCCGGCGGGCACCTGCAGACGGGAGGGAGGAGGAAGCAGGGAGGCCCTTCGCACCCTGCCCCTCCCCATTGCTGCCCGGTCCTCCCGGACGGACCGCAGGCACTGGCCCCGCTTGACTGACCCCCGCTCTCCTGCGGCCCAGGCCCTGCTCCCTGGCTGTGGCCCCGCCAGGCGCTCGTCTCCTGGCCCCCGGGGATGTGGTCCCCCCCTCGCTTTGGCATACACTCCAGTTGTGCATACAGGTGTGCCTGGTGGGGAGTCCAACATCCTGGCTGAGACCCTGACCGTGTCCCCCTGCCACCCCCTCGTCCACCTGTGACCTCGCCTTGGGTCCTCCTATTCCTGTCAGCCTGCCTCTCTGGCTGAAGCCCACCCCTGACTTCCTGCGACCCCGGACCCAGCCCCTCCCCGCTCTGGCCCATCCCTCTCATAGTCCGGTCTGTCAGTGCTGCTCACACACCGGACCCCGATGTCCCCGTTCTGACCGGACGCCCCCTCCTCGCCTCGTTCTTTTGGACCCAGGGCTGCCCTTAGCACCCAGCCGTGACCTCACTCCTGGTCCACCTACAGCCTTGGCCAGATTCCGCCCCTTTCCGCCTTGCTCTGCTCCCCTTCCCACACCCCTGACTACTCTGTGACCTTGACCTTGCCCCACCTCCAGCCCTTGGCCCCGCCTGCTGAGCTTGGCAGAAATGTGAGCCCTGGTACCTCTGATTGCCTCCTCAGACCGTGGCCTGTCCTTCCCGCCATCGCTCCCGGGCTTGGCTTGACTCCTGATTGCAGCCTCAGCTTGCCCTGCCTGCCTTCCTCCTGCCCTGGCTGCTCTGCCTGCCCTGCTCCGGCCTTCCCCCTGCCCAGCCGCTCTCGCTCATGCCCACTGCCCAGCCGCCGCCACCCTCCCTGGGAACCCTGCCTCTCCCAGCCTCGTCCCCTCTCTGGGGTCTGACCGGGACCCCTTGTCCTGCCCCCTTCCTGGTCTGACCCGCCCGTGGCCCCGCCCCGTGTGCCCAGCGGAAGCGGCAGCAGCAGGAGGGGAACTACCTGCAGCACGTCCAGCTGGACCAGAGGAGCCTGGTGCTGAACACCGAGCCCGCCGAGTGCCCCGTGTGCTACTCGGTGCTGGCGCCCGGCGAGGCCGTGGTGCTGCGGGAGTGTCTGCACGCCTTCTGCAGGTGCGGCCCGCCCCCGCCCCCGCCACGCAGCAGGGTCCCGGCCTCAGTTAGCCAGGCGGGAGGGGGTGGGCCGGGTGCTCTCACATCTCGCTGGACCTCACCCACAAAGTCCTGCCAGGCGTTGTCTCCCCATTTCTCGGGCGCAGAGAGGCCAGCAGCTTGCTCAGTGCCGTACAGCTCAGGCATTCTGGCTCAGAGCCCGTGCCGCTCACCGCTCCGGCCCAGGCCCGTGCAGGGCGCTGAGGCCCTAGCCCTGGCACCTGGCTGGTGGGCAGTCTGCCCCCTCCCGGGTCCTCTCCCGGCCCCTCGGTCCTGGGCTGCGGAGAACACGCCCTGGCGTCTGGTGAGCAGCCCCTGGGCCTGCTAGGCCAGGGCATCCAGGAGGGATCAAAAAGCTCAGCCACTGCCCCCGGGCTCGTCCCATACTCACAGATTAGCTGTAAGGTGGCATGCCAGGCACCCCGGGGTGGAGCAGGGGGCCAGGGAGCCCTGGAGGTGGCGCCGGTGTGGGTGTGTGCCTGGTCTCTAAGGAGCAAGGGCCCAGTGTGGCTGGAGCAGACGGGTGGACGGAGGTGTTCGGGAGGGCAAGTCATGGGGTGCTTATGAGCACAGTTAGGGGTTTGGGTGGTTCCAAGCCTGAGCAGGACGGGATGGGAGCCACTGGGGAGGAGTGTGGGGCACACTGGGAGCCCCGGAGGGGGCTGCCGCTGTCTTCCAGGTGAGCTGGACCGGAGCAGTGGGGTGGGCAGGAGTTGAGGCCATGGTGAGGTTGGTGGGACGGAGGGGAGACATTGAGGAGGAATGTCTCCACCTGGGACAGGCTCACCCTGCGAGGTGGAGTCCCGGTGGGTGGGCTGCGGATGACCCTCCCCTCCACTCCCTCCCTCTCCCAGGGAGTGTCTGCAGGGCACCATCCGCAACAGCCAGGAGGCAGAGGTCGCCTGCCCCTTCATTGACAACACCTACTCGTGCTCCGGCAAGCTGCTGGAGAGGGAGATTCGGGCGGTAAGCCTGGGGCGGGGCTCATCTCATCCCAGGGCGCTGGGCCTGAGCTGGCAGTGGGAACTGGCTCCGGTGCCGGTCTCGGGCAGCAGACCTTTATCAGAGCCTTCTCTGTGGGGTGCTGAGGGCCCAAGCAGTCAACAGGACAGGAATTGGGGGAGGTAGCTAGTTAAGAAACCCCCTTATGAAGGAAGGACAGCCAGCAGTTAGTGGGCCTGGTGACCTCCAGTCAGGTCCTCGGCCTCGGTGAGTCTCAGTGTTCTCCTCCACGAAGGGCAAAGGTAGCACTGTTTTCTGTTTCAAAGTTGGGAAGGATTTGTGTAAGGAATGGAGAGTAGCGTTTGACACATGGTAAGTGCTTACAGTTGCCTTGTGTTGTAAGAGGCCATTCAGACTTCAAACAGCCACCATTTATTTAGCCCATGAACCTGCCACTTAGTAATTTCTGTGGCTTATCGGGACGGTTCTCCTGTCCGGGTTGGGCCTGGCTGACCTCATGTGGGCTTAGCTGGTGGTCAGCTGCCCTGGGCTGGCTTCTGATGGGCTTAGCTGCGACGGCTGGGATGGTGGGCCTCTTCCCACTTTGGTCTCATCTGCCTGCAGGCTGGCCAGGCTGCTCCCGTGGTGGCCTCAGAGTTCCCGGGGCGGCCAGAGGGGGGGGGGGGCGGCCAGAGGGGGCCCAGGGCGGCCAGAGGGAGGGTCCAGGGCGGCCAGAGGGAGGGTCCAGGGCGGCCAGAGGGGGCCCGGGGCGGCCAGAGGGGGCCCGGGGCGGCCAGAGGGGGGCCCGGGGCGGCCAGAGGGGGCCCGGGGCGGCCAGAGGGGGCCCAGGGCGGCCAGAGGGGGCCCGGGGCGGCCAGAGGGGGGGCCCGGGGCGGCCAGAGGCGGGGGGCCCGGGGCGGCCAGAGGGGGCCCAGGGCAGGAGGGCTTTTCACGTCTCTGCTCCTTTCACACTTGCTGCTGCTCCACTGGCTAAAGCCCAGATTCTGTGCAAAAGGCACCACCATGAGCATGGAGTCAGGGAGGCAGTTACAGATTGGGGCCATTCCTCAAGCATCTGGCACAGTGTGTCTGTGTGCGCCTGTGTCTGTACCAGTATGTGTGCAACCTGTCACAGTGCTGTCTGTGTGCACGTGTGTGTGTGCATGTGCAGACTGTCACAGTGCTGTCTGTGTGTGCACCCGTGTGTGTGTGTGCGCCATCTATCATAGTGTTGTCTGTGTGTGTGTGTGTGTGTGTGTGTGCCGTCTGTCATAGTGCTGTCCGTGTGAATGTGTGTGTGTGTGCACGTGGACGCTCGCTATTGCTGTTAATGCTATTATCAGGTTCTCTCCCTGATTGCTGTTCATCTCCCTCTGGGCCTCCATTTCCCCATCTGTAAAGTGGACTGTTGGGCTTGATTTATGGTTTTTAAACTGCTGGGCAGTGGCCCTCCCAGAACTGGGCATCTTCAGATACCCAGGCAAAAACATGAGGCCTGGCCAAGGTGGCTGAGGTCCAAAGGGGGACCCCACAGGCACACACACCAGACCCTGCTTCTCCCCCTCACTCCCGCCTCCTGTGGCCCTGCTTCTGAGAACCCTGACTTCACCAGGCCTTCCGTGGAGCCCAAGGAGTTCTGCCTCAAGGGAAAGTGGGCTGACAGAGGGGTAGGACTTGAGGACTTCCACAGTTAACCCCAAGAGCAGCCCCGTTTTATCTCCTCTGGGGTCTCCGGAGGGGGCTCTGGAAGGTTGCTGAGGCCTCCTCCCTGGGCCTGGAGGGTCAGTCCCTGTGACCGGTGCCCATGGTCTTTGCCCAGAGGTGCTCCCCATCAGTCCTCCAGGCCAGGGCCACAGGGCCATGCTTGCCTGGAGCCCCTGGGAGTTGATGAGCCTCACAGTGACCCAGGGTGGCAGCGAGTAGAAGGGACGGGGATCAGCAGAGTAATGCAGTGCAGATTGGTTTTACAAAAAACATGTCTAAACCACAAAGAACTAGGACAGAAAGGAAAGAAAAGTCCCCATGACCCACCATCCCAGCAGATCCCCGATTGTGTTTTTCTCCTGTTAACTTCGGTGTCTCTGGGCAGACATGATATCTTTCCTTTTTAAATCAGCTTCATTAAGGTATACTATGCATACAATAAAACACACTCATTGTAAGGGTACTATTGGGTGAGTTTTGACAAATGTCTCTTGTAACCACCACCCCAATGAAGATACAGAATGTAGGCATGATTTATTTATTTTTAAAATTTTTTTTATTGACTTCAGAGAGGGAGAGGGAGAGAGAGAAACACAAATGATGAGAGAGAATCATTGACGGGTTGCCTCCTGCATGCCCCCTACTGGGGATTGAGCCTGCAACCTTGGGTTAATGCTGAACCACTGAGCCGTGCTGGCCGGGCATGATTTTTACTGGTAATAATCAGCATAGATATGACAGCCTTTGCTGTTTTCTTATTTTATTTATTTTTTGGTTAATCCTCACTTGAGCATATCTTTTCCATTGATTTTTAGAGAGAGTAGAAGGGAAGGGGAGAGACAGAGAGAAACGTTGATGTGAAAGAGACAAATCAACTGTTTGCCTCCTGCCCCTGCCGGGACCAGCACCTGTAACTGACGTACGTGCCCTTGGCCGGGATCGAACCCGAGACCCTTCAGTCTGTGGGCCAGCGCTCTGACCGCAGTAAAACTGGCTAGCACAGCCTTTGCTATTTTGCTACAAAGTCTTACTAAAGGTTATTGTCTCTATGGTATAGATCCTGTTTATACCTCTTAATAATTCCAGCGTCTCAGTTCATAAGTCATGCTTCTAGGAACATTTTGCTGGTATCTTTCTCCTTAATATTACTTGCTTAGGGTAAACCTCCAGAAGTGGAGCGAGTCCCAAAAGATCAGAGAAGTTTGGGTGGTTGAAATGTTCTGCCACATTGCTTTCTCAGAGTGAAATGCACATATTCCCCAGAATCGCTTGTTATTATTTTTGTCCATATTTTTCCTTTTTTTTATCGTGGTAAAATGTATATAAAATTTACCATCGTACCCACTTTTAAACGCACAGTTCTATGGCGTTAAGTGTATTCACTGTCGTGCAGCCATCACCCCCATGCCTCTCCAGAACGTTAATCCACGCTTGAATGGAGTCTTTAAATACTGAGGAGAAGAAACGAGCCTGGGGCTTTATGGATTGGGGCTTCCAGGAGCATGTTTGGTGGAGGGAGGGCTGCTAGCCGGTGTTCTGAGCCCCAGAGACTGAGGCTCTGGTCTTGGCAGCTGCTCACCCCCGAGGAATACCAGCGGTTTCTGGACCTGGGCGTCTCCATCGCCGAGAACCGCAGTGCCTTCAGCTACCACTGCAAGACCCCGGACTGCAAGGGCTGGTGCTTCTTCGAGGACGACGTCAACGAGTTCACCTGCCCCGTGTGTTCCCGCGTCAACTGCCTGCTCTGCAAGGTGGGATGGGGACCCGCGCGCCAGGCACCCCGTCCCGCCAGGAGCTCACGCCCCTCAGCGCTTGTTCCGGGCAGGGCCTGGTTGGCGTGACTTAGAGCTGCATGTCCCTGATGGCACCTGAGCCCTGACCCTCAGTCCATCCCAGATGGACCCTCATCCTAGACGGAGCCCTGGCCCGGACTGAACCTTAGCCCCACCCTGAGCCTGGACCCTAACCTGCCCCTGCCCCTGCCCCTGTCATCTCAGCAGCTGATGGTTACAGAGGCCGGTGAAAGGAGACCGGTCTGAGCCGGCTTAGTCTCCGTCTAGCCAGGCACAAAGGGCCTCAGCCTGGGGAGAGTGGTTGAGGGTCTCTGTGCCCATCAGGGCTTAGAATAAACAGGTAAGTATTATCACACATGCCGACCCTGGCTTCCCCCCCCTGGCCTCCGTGTGTTCTGCGAAGTGCGTGTACGGTTTATAACGTGAGGCCCGGTCGGTGACAACACCTAGAGGCATTATGTACTTGTGTGGGTGCCTGCTCCGTCCCCACCCCCCCAGTCCCTAACGGGGCCTTCTCATCTCGAGCTCCCCGCTCCCTCAGGCCATCCATGAGCAGATGAACTGCAGGGAGTACCAGGACGGCCTGGCCCTGCGGGCCCTGAACGACCAGGCCGCCCGGCAGACGACGGAGATGCTGAGGGTGAGGCTGCGAAGGGCTGAGGACCTGGGGGTTGGAGTTCGGGAGCTGGCAGGGCTGTGGTTTATGGGCCCTGGAGGTTCTTCCCCCCCGCTGGCATCACTCCCAGCCAGAGCTGGGGCTCGGGATGGGGGCTCAGGTGGCCAGCAGCAGGACACGTGTCTGGGTGGAGGGAGGAGGCCGCAGACGGAGCCTCGGAGAGGGATTCCCCTCCAGCGGAGTCGCGGTTTTCCTCTGTCGTGGGGAGGGCCGCGGGGAGGGAGTGAGGCCGGGCGCTGCCCCTGCCCGGCCCAACGGCAGCCCCTGCTCTGCCCAGTCCATGCTGCAGCAGGGCGAGGCCATGCACTGCCCGCAGTGCCAGATCGTGGTGCAGAAGAAGGACGGCTGTGACTGGATCCGCTGCACCGTCTGCCAAACCGAGATCTGCTGGGTCACCAAGGGCCCGCGCTGGGGCCCGGGGGTGAGTCCTCAGGGAGCAGGGACTCAGGAGGGGTGGGGAGGGGACCCTCGTGGGCCTTGCCCAGGAGTGGAGATGGGAAAACGACAGCCCAATCCAGTCCCCGCCTGTATTTGTACAGCCAGTGAAGTAAAAATATTTTTTACTTTTTATTTATTGATTTTTAATATATTTTATTTTTTAAAAAAATCTATATTTTATTGATTTTTTACAGAGAGGAAGGGAGAGGGATAGAAAGCTAGAAACATCGATGAGAGAGAAACATCGACCAGCTGCCTCCTGCACACCCCCTACCAGGGATGTGCCCACAAGCAATGTACATGCCCTTGATCGGAATCAAACCTGGGGCCTTTTAGTCCGCAGACTGATGCTCTATCCACTGAGCCAAACCGGTTTTGGCTATTTTTTACTTTTTAAATGGTTAAAAAATATCAAGAGAGTATTTTGTGATGGGAAAATCACATGAAATCCGATTTTTGGGGTCCATAGTGAAGTTTTAAGGGAGCACAGTCCTGCTTATTCTTTTACATGGAGTCTGGCGGCTTTTGTGCTCCAAAGGCAGACTGCGTGGCTGCAAAGCTGGAATCTCCGTCTGGCTCTTCACAGAAAAAGTCGCAGCCCTCGCCCGAGGACAGTGACGAAGGGCTCAGTGTGGAGTCAGGTGGCGTGGGCCCTTGGCTTTGGCACAGCGGGCTGGGTGGGTTAGGCTGTTACTGCCTTCTCTGGGCCTCAGTTTTTTCATCTGGAAAATGGAGGTGACAGCTGGGCCTGTCTTACTTAGGCTTATTGTCAGAATCAAATGAAAAAGGGTAAGAAACGGGTGTAGCACGATGCTTATCATTTTGCGAGCACTTCATATGTGATAGCTATCAAGTTAGAGGTGTGTTCCTGGAATTGGGGGTCATGGTTACAGACAGGCTTCAGACAGTGGAGGTGGAGGAAGCAGCCCTTTTCATGCTGCCATGTCCTGACCTTCCAGAATATGCAGAGACCCATCAGCTCCTTCCCTACTCTGGGTCTCGGGTGAGGCAGATTGAGGCCATGTAATTGGTGCCCAGAAAGGCCTTCGTGATGGCCTCCGCCAGGCTGCTGAGGCCGAGGGCCCGTTTAGAAGCAGGGCCTGGAGCTTTTGGTGACGGATATCCCTGCCCTGACCTCTCTCCCCCATTCTGCAGGGCCCTGGAGACACCAGCGGGGGCTGCCGGTGCCGGGTGAACGGGATTCCTTGCCACCCCAGCTGTCAGAACTGTCACTGAGCTGCAGATGGCCCAGTCCGCACGCTGACCCAGCCCCACGTCCACAGCTGCTGTGGGACAGGGCAGGTGCTTGGCTCTGCATTCTGGCCGGGGAGACGCCTGTGTGCTTGGTGGGGACAGGGACCCAGCAGAGCCACAGCACGCGGCCTTGTTTGTGTGGGTGTTGCAAGGGCTGCCTCTTGTCCACGGCCGCCTCTGCCCTTCCCCTGGGGCTTGCTGGCCAGACCGCTCATCTGTCCTTTGTGGCTCCCACCTCTGCCTGGCCCCGCCTTAAACAGCCCTGCCATCAGCCTGCTAGATAGAGCCTTCGAGAGCCCTGCGTGTCCGAACATCCCCACCCACGGACCACCTCGCCTCCCGAATACCACGCACTCGGCCCACTTCCCGGCGGCTTTCTGGGCTGACTTCTCTGGCTTTGCTGCTGGAGGCCTGGGGCCCGAGGACTGCTGCTGACCCTGTTTGGAGCCAGGAGGGAGGCCTAGCAGTTCCCAAGGCACAGCTCATCTGGCCCCGCTTCCACTCCCCCTCTGCTGCTTGTGCAGCTAATGAAGGCGGTTTCCAGGGAGGGATGAGAGATGTCTGAGTGAGAGGGGCATGGACTGGGACTCTGCAGGAAGCAACAGGAAGAGTATGTGTGAGCTGCTTGGCACCCCTGTGCCCAGCTTGAGCGGGTAGGATGTCGGCGTGTACAGGGGAAGTTTGCAGTGTGTTGAGAGGCCACAGAGCAGGTTCTGCAGGTCCGTGTGGGCTTGAGGGGCAGAAGGGGCCAAGGCAGCAGGAACAGGCCGGCAGGAAAGGCTTGCTGCTCCCTCTGCCACGAGTGGGCTTCCAGGGTCGGGGAACAGACGTCAGAATCAGGTAAAACTGCTGCTGGTGAGGCTGCCCATCCTAATTTTAGTGTCTCAGGTAAAGGGCACAGCATCGGTTCAGCAGTATTTATCAGTCTCCTCTGTGTGTTGGTCAGGGATTAATAGAGAGAGCTCTGGGTGTTCCTTCTCTCAGTTTTACCGCATTCTTGCACCCACTCCCTTCCCCTGTGAGGCCTGGTGTTGGATGGCCAACATGTCTGCGCTGAGCCATGGGGCATCATCAGAGAGGCAGGCGTCTGCTGTGCGAGGCCTGGACTCCAGGCTCCGGAAGTTGGGGCCTGTGGTTTTGGGGCAGTGAACTTGTTCTAACCCCTGGAAGCGCAATGCCACCTGTCCTTGGAGGCCAAGACTGGAGTTGGACCACAGGCACTGTGAGCAGAGCTATCAGAGAACATGAATGCCTTCCTGCTTGGCAGCTGTGGTAGCTCCAGGGCATGCTCAGGCTGCCTCCCACCCCGAGCCAGACAGGCAGAGCCACCGACCTGAGGGACAGCAGTTGAGACCTGGTCCACAGGAGTAAGATGGGGCCCAGATCAGGGCAGAGCCCTCTCTTACCATCTCCTTCCTCCCTCCTCCTTCCGGGGTCCATCTTGGTGTCCCTTAGGCAGGGACGGGGAACCTTTTTTTTTTTTGCCAAGGGCCATTTGGATAGAAGGTAATTTATGGGCCATACAAAATTAGAAACGAGGTTGCTGCTTGATTCCTGGTCAGGGCATATGCCTGGGTGCAGGCTCAATACCTGGTGGGAGTGGGGGATGGGGAGGTGTGAAGACAGCCAATTGATAATTCTCTTATCAATGATATTTCTCTCTCTTCCTCTTCCTTCCTCTGAAATCAATAAAAATATTGTTTTTGAAAAATTAGCCTGCTGTATTTGGTCAAACATTTAATTAACTCACCCCTAAGGCCTTGGCAGGGCCGGGCCAAATGACGTGAGGGCTGGACGTTCCCCACCCCTGCCTTGGGGGCTGGGGCACATGAGAAAAGCAGACAGTTCTCTTGGTTCAGAGGAAGCAGACTGCTAACAGGGCCTTTCAATGCCTGCCTTTCTGCTCCATAAGGCTACGAGGTGTTGAAGTGTTTACCTGTGGCTGGTCAAAATGAGGACAAGACAGGCAGAGGGGCTTCGATGGCTAGTTTCTCCCTCGGCCCACTCCACGCCAGCTCGCCCAGGGAGCGAGTCTGCTGCAGCCAAAATGGGGGTCAGGGCAGCCCCAGGGTTCTGGCCTCCAGTGCCACGCTCAGTGTACCAGGGGGTGAGGCTCATAAGTGCTCTCTTGCAGGGTCAAGGGGAAGTGCCACGCTCTCCCAAGGGGCTACCTCAGGCCTGGGCCCAAGCTCTTGAGAATCCATCACCAACTGGCCAGAGCAGACTTGAAACCAAGCCCCATAGCTTTGGACTCAGACCACCTACCTGAGGAAGCAGCAGGTCCCAACATACTTGTGCGCCATAATCTCCGTCTCCTGGACAGGAAAGGCAAGCGGAAGCCCACTGCTCAGATAAAGCGCCGCCACCGCTATGGACAGGGAGTGGAAGACGTGCCCACAGCCACGTGTCTTCCCCTAGTGTTGGGCTGGCGTGAAAGCCACTCGCTCAAAAGCAGGAAGCGGGAGGCAAGCCCACAGCCTTGCTGGCTCACCAAGGTTCCTGGACAAATTCCAACCATTTGTAAGTCTGGGAAGAATACTGCTAGCAAGTAGAGGGCCTTTGTGAAGACAGAAAAAGGCAGCAGGAGCCACAGAAAACACGAAGGACAGCAGGGCAGGGAAAGGACAAAGTCAGGCCGAGCCTCAGGCCTAACATCTCTTGGTTGGATTTGGCAAAAGCCTTTGGCCTATTCTCCTTAATCACCACTTAATCTCTGAATGAACATGGGTCCCAAGCCCAGGGCTGGCTAAAGGCATTTGGTAATAACTGTTTACCAAAATGGAATCAAAACTCTGGCATGACCTCACAGTTTGTAAAGCATTTTCCCAAACATCCTTGAGAGATGGGACTATTCATCTTACTGTAATTGACAACTAGAAGCCCAGTGCACAAAATTTGTACACTCGGGGGAAGGGGCCCCGCAGCCCAGACTGTGCCCTCTCGCCGTCCAGGAGCCCCCATGGGATGGCCAGCATGTGGGGAGCGGCCTAAGTGGGCAGTTGGATATCCTTAGGGCTGCCACAGAGGCGGGAGAGGCTCGGGCCACTGACGCTGCACTCACCAGCCATGAGCCCAGCTCAGGGCTTCTGGCTGAGTGGTGCTCCCCGTGGGAGCGCACTGACCACCAGGGGACAGCTTCTGCTTTGAGCATCTGCCCACAGGTGGTCAGTGCATGTCATAGCGACCAGTGGATCTGCTGTTTGGTCAATCTGCATATTAGCCTTTTATTATATAGGACGAGTCTCAGATGTTGAACTTGCAACAGATCAAACTGCCATGAAGTAACACACTTGCCAATAATTATTGCTTCCAATAATTCTCTCTCAGGACCCAGTATTGGGCCCAGCCTCACTCCCAAATCGCCTGGAGTCCCACTCTCCTCCACAGTTCAAAGTTGTCCCAGACCTGAACCCTAAGTACCTTCCATTACCATTGCCCTCTCCATCTCCACACCCCAAACCCAGGTCCTGCTGGGCTTGCTGTCTACAGAATACCCACACTTTATTCAGCTGGTACTTTTGTACTTCTTTTCCCTCAGCCTTCACTTCTCCGATCCTCCAGCACCAACTGGGTGTCCAACAATTCAATCCTGACACCACCTGGAGTTAACATCAGATCCCACAAATTAAAGGGCTGTCCCACAAGACTGCCCACTTCAGATGCCAACCGCAAACAGTGCCCAGGCTACCCACACTTCTCCCTGGCCAACTTCAAATTCTGGGGTCCCTACAACTCCCCCAGATTTAATAATTTGCTAGAACTCAGGAAAACACTATGGTTACCAATTTTTAATAAGGAGTATCACTCAGAAACGGCTCAGAAATGAGAGAAATGAGTAGAGCCAGGTATGGGGAGAGGGTGCAGACCTCCCAGTCCTCTCTGGATGCACTTCCCTCCCAGCATTTCAATGAGTTCACCAACCCAGAAGCTGTCAGCATCTGAATCAAGGTTGTGGAGTTCAATCTCCAGCCATCCCTCTCCTAGGTCAGGGGATGGAACCAAAAGCCCCCACTCTCCAATCACTTGGGCCTTTCCAGGGACCTGCCTCACCATTTTGAGGCCATTTAGCAGTCTCACTGTAAGCCATCTACTCCTATCAGTAAATTCCAAGATTTTTAGGGAAATAGTACAAAAAACACAAATATTTCTCACACAACGTACACCTTTCCTTCAATGTTCCAATTTTCAAATTCTACTTTTACACTAATCAATTCCCATGAAACGGCCAGTGAATCTGCCACCCAAATTGTTCCTTCAATGCAACCACGGTGTGAGCTCCAGAGGCCAGCAGTGTCCTGGGCCGTGTCCCAGCTCCACATTCTAAGTATCAGGTCAGAGGGCAGCATGGGCAGCTGGCTACAGTGGTGGGACGAGGTCAGGGGGCTGTGATGCCGTTCAGCCTTGGGCCCTCTCCCCTCGCCCCTCTGGGACAGGGAAATAAACATCCCAGACAACATGGATTCTTGCCCCTGTGATCGGCCCATCCCCAGGATGGTGGCAACTGTTCTGGCTCCCAATACCCAACCGCTGGGATGTCATGTTAGAAAAGCTTGGCAAGAAAAAGCACCACAGCTCCTCTGGGACAGAAATGACACGTGGAGGCAAAATTACGTTCACAAGGCTCTGCTTAGGTTCCAAACCCGAATGCCAGCCTTTGGAACAAGGGGCACCCCCAGATTAGTGTGAAAAATAGTCAGGATCGCCCAGACTAGCACCCCACACCACTTTTGCTGCTTAACCAGTGGCACCTGGCGGCAGCCGGCCTGTGTAGATCACATTTACTGCAGGTGAAACAGAAACAGGACTTGCAGGTATCATCCCAGCTCTCCAGGCAACTCAAGGCTGACCAGGAGTCCAGAGAGAGAGCAGTCCCAGGCCAGCGTGGAAGGCAGCGAACACCAAGGCCATTTGTCTAAGACCAGAGTCTAGTCCTACTAAGTGGCAGACAGGACAGAATGACAGAGATTAGTAACCACATATGGTTGTGTATTTCATATATGGCTCTGTACAAAATATTTACACACATTCTTTACAGAATAGTAACCACCTGAAGGTAAAAAGATAATGGTTTCTTCTCATCAACAAGGTGAATCCTGATGTCAGCAAAGCTTATCACACAAATGAACTTGTTCCTTCTTAGGCCACAACTAAAGCAAATGCCACTCGCTTCCTGGGTTCCAAAAAGCTGTGGCCTTGGGACCCTGACCACGTGCGCCTCCTTTCCTCTCCCCCATCAGTGTCTGCAGTCCTGCAGACGGCTCGGGTGCTTGTGGCAGGAGCTGCTGCCGCCGTCCATTTGTAACAAGAGGACAAACTTGCTGAGGGAGAAGACTGGGAGAATCTGTCACGTCATCCCCTCTGGATCCTGAAAGAATTTCCTTTTCTTGACAGATCTTCCACTTTCTGGGTTAACCCACCCACACCACTCTCAGCCCAGGTGGGACTCCTGCTGTGGAGAATGGCCCATCACTGAGCTTTTTGGTTCTAAAGTGCTGAGTGTAACAGGAGAGCCGCCTCTCGGACCGTCTCCGGGCCGGCCAGCTGCCTGGCACGCTGCATGCCCTCCACTCGCACACAGGGGCGCACCGGGAGGGGAGGTCTGCGCAGAGGAGCCAGAGTGCTTCTGGCACGTTCACATGAAAACACTGTCAACACAGAACAGTGCTGGAGAGAGACCATGAAAATACAAAGTACATGGCTGCTTCAGACTACACACCCCCGTTCTTTAAAGCAAAAGGCACTTTTTTCCAAGCCAGAGCTCTCTGGAACAAAGCTGGCGTGGCTCACAGGAAAAGCTGTCCGTGGCCGCTCCCCGGCCACAGCGAGGAGCGGCCTGTTCCGGCTCTGGCCGCTCTTCAGGCTGCAGGCCCTCCCTTTCTGGGGACTGGGTCTCCACTGACGCTTCCAACCGGGAAGGAGAGACCGCAGCTAAGGAGACAAATCAAACCCCCGAAACGAGCCGAGGTGGCGAGGGGGTGCCAGCTGGGACAGACAGGTGATCTGAGGAAAACAGGAAAGGGAGACACAAGGACGGCACTTTGGGAGAACGGGCTGTTACAAACAGCAGCTCTGGCTAATGTGAAATGTTAAACAATTGGGTAAAAGGAACCCTCACGGTCTTCGAAGATCATCCTTCCGATGAGAACTATTTTCTTCCAGAAGGAACTATTATTTTTAAAGCGAGGGTGCTTTATATATTGGGTGTTGCATAATTCAAAAAATAGTCATAAAAGTATCTTTAAAAAGCAAATAGGTAGCAGAAAAACAAAACAAAAAAACGGGGGCGAGGGGAGAGCCAAGTCAGGCTCAGTTGGTTAGAGCATCATTCCGTGCACCAAAGGGGTTACAGGTTCGATTCCCGGTCAGGGCACATACCTAGGTTGGGGGTTTGATACCCAATCAAGGGGGGTGAAGGAAGCAACCTATCAATGTTTCCCTCACATCGATGTTTCACTCTCTCTCCCTAGAGTCAAGGAACATATCCTCAGAGTGAGGATTAAAAAAAAAAAAACCAGCCCTAGCTGGTTTGGCTCAGTGGATAGAGCGTCAGCTTGCAGACCAAAGGGTCCGGGGTTTGGTTTTGATCAAGGGCATGTACGTTGGTTGCAGACTTCTCCCCAGCCTGGGCCCTGGTCAGGGTGCATGCAGGAGGCAACCAAGCGATGTGTTTCTCTCATATTGATATTTCTCTGTCTTTCCCTCTCTACCACTCTCGCTAAAAATCAATGGAAAGATATCCTCAGGTGAAGATTTAAAAAAGGAAAAATGGTAGGCAAAACCAGACTATGTGTGGGCCTTATAACTTAACATTCCTTCCTGTTTGTCTGGAAATACTGTGATTTCTAGACTGAAAACCAGTAGGAGTTATCCAGTAACCCAGTTCCCAACTGCCTCTCTGATTTCTGACCAGCTAATAGAGCTGCTGTTCCTGGGCTACCTCCTCTGCCCGCTGCCTTCATTCTACCATCGGACTTCTTTGGCCAAAGCAGACAGAACAGGAGGAGCTGTGAGGAGGGCTTTCAAAGGTCCAGCTTACTTACTACTGGGCAGCGGCCAAGAGGTCCCAGTGACCAGGCCCAGAAGGTTCCAAAGACAGCTGGGAGCTAAAACCCCCACTTCCTCCAACACAAGAGGCGGCAGTGGAGAGCACACTCAGAAGCCCACTGAGAGGGAGGAGAGTCCTATGCCCAGGCCCCAAGTGCCCAGTGTCACACAGGTTCTGCTATTGGCCTCTGAAGCAAAGGCAAACCATGGAGTGGCAGGGAAGGGTGGTAGGAATACAAAACCCTTGACAGAAACCCTTTTAATAAAGGACATCCCACCCCTCCCCATCCTTCCATGGAAGGGCGAGACCTTAACGCAATGCCGGAGGCAGAATCGCCTCTGGCATTTAGGGGAACAGCTGCAGCTGAAACTTGGGGGCCCACTCCAGGGCACTTTTCATCATCGCCAGGGCGGCGGCTCCAAGCGCCACGGTCAGCCCCATCACCGCCAGCTTCACAAAGCGGTTGGTCCTTGGTTTGGTCAGGACGTCTTTTGCTCGATTCTCAGTCCGAAGAAGTCCCCGAAACCGCTGCCGCAGTACCATGTCAGGCCTCTGCTGGGTGGATGCCAGCTCAAAGTCCTTGAAAGTAGAGGCTGCCGTTCTGGAGAAAAGGAAGAATATGAAAGAAACAGAGGAGGCAGGAAAGAAAAACTAGATTACATAGGCTGAGGGCAGAGCCATCTACTGCTCAGAAACTCTTCTTGATGAAGACCCATCAAGACTAAAGTAGGGATTCTGCTGGCACAAGCTTAGAACTCTGGAAACATCCCCCAGCCCTCTCCTGACCAGGCACCATCTCCCATCACTTCTGCTCACTAACAAACACCTCCCACCCCCAACCAGTGGCTTGTGTCCACTCACTTGTTGGCTTGCTGTTGGGCAGCTGCTTCCCAAGCAAGTCTAGATGGGGGAAACTGAACGAAAAGGTCTCCGGCTCTACTAATCAGCATCTCATAGGGCAGGTCCTGAGGGATCTGCGACAACAGGTGGTGAACGGAGGCCATGTCACAGTCACAATCCAGGACTTCCTCTTCTCGATACAACACGATCTGTGAAAAGCAAAGCCTCACATCGGGGACCAGAACGTACGGAGTCTTGTCATGTGCATTTCACTCTCCCTAGAGATGAATTTAAACTGGTGACAGGGCTCACTCCAAATGTCAGCAAACGCTTGTATCCATCTACAACATAATAATGTACACATCTGAGTGCTTTTCCTACTGGGCTGGGTCTTCCTGTGGGAGGCAAACTTCTACCCTAAGATGTGAAAGACTGACCAATTACAATAAATAACGGAGATTCTTTTAGGAGGAAGAAGAGGAGAGGGATTCCTGGGAGATTCCTGGAGCTCCAGCACAGAAAACAATGGTTCAAAACCATAGAAAGAATGATCTTGTTCTCATTAAAGAACAATGAAGAGTGCCTGTAAGCCCACACCTTCACCTCCACCCACCCCACCCCAATGATTCAGGCCCTCTAATAACAGGAGCACCCCCAAACCATCTCAACTTTCTATCACAATACCACACCCCATCTTTCCTTAGACCCAAAGTTGGCAATTTGCACTCATTCCAGAAGATGACAACAAGAACACAGAATTCAAGTGTAGGGAAACACTTTAAACGTTCAAAAGAATCCTATATAATAAAGAGCTAATATGTTAATTAGACCGAACAGCCGGACAACCTTCTGGACGAAGCTGGGGCTGCGAGGGCTGAGCCCCTTGCACAAATTTTGTGTCAGGCCTCTAGTCATGTAATAAACAAATCTGTTTATCTTCATTTAACCAACTTTTCCCAACCTTAGTGTCACACAGAACATTTCTGCCCCCATGACATTCCCCATTACCACTGCACAAAATGGTGTCTAGGCACACCAGCCTAGGAAATGCTGTCTTCTGCATCTTCCCATAACCCCTGGTTTCCCTTTAGGGTAGGGGTGTCGAACTCAATCAGAGAAGGGGCCAAAATCTAAAATCCAGCCTAAATCGCGGGCCGAATGGTTTACTGAACAGTCATAAACTGTCATTGTGATGGAAACGCAGCGGAGTGCAGTGATGACAGCGTGGTGCGGGCCACATTGCAAGGCCTGGCGGGACGGATTTGGCCCGCGGGCCTTGTGTTTGACACATGTGCTTTAGGGGAAATGATCAAGCTGGGTTGGGTGATGTGAACCTAGCTGTTGGCTTGTGGCCTGTACCTACCACAGCTGCAAAGTAAATGGGCATCAGAGGGTGGCAGGCCAGGAAGAAGTCGTATAACCGCACCACGTGTCTGAAGTCAGACAGGACGTGCCCAAACCAGGTGATGAGCCAGCTGAGGGCAAAGATGGTCCCGACCTCAGCACTAGGAACAAAGAAACAAATGTTAGGCTCCCTGCTGAGTGAGCATTTCCCCTTTTCTGGGCCCTCTTTGTCTCCAGTGCTATTAGAAGGAAGCATTTGGGAAATATACTTTATGAGAAATTCAGCATTTTCTCCCTAAAAAACACAAAGTTCTTAAGTTGTACCCCCCATCATGATATTAACACTACAATAGGTCCCTGATTGCCTTATTTCACTAGGTGCTCTAATGACCAACAAATGTCTACTACAGGAACAAAAAGTACCTATTTAGAGAAAACTATACCATAATTTTCCTTCTGAGAAAGTCATGCTCTTTTGGGGGCACAAGTACATATTAAAACAACTCTGTTTATTTTTTAGTTAACACGAGGTGACTGAAACATATTAAGACATAGCTATTATTTGAAAGGAAAAGGTCCTGGCCGGTTTGCTCAGTTGGTTAGAGCGTTGTCTTGATACACCGAGGCTGCAGGTTCAATCCCCAGTAATGACACATACAAAAATCAACCAGTGAATGCATAAATTAAGTGGAACGACAAAGCGATGTTCCTCTCCCTTTCTAAAAATCAGTTAATCAATCAATGAAAATTTTAAAAAGTCAGTCATTGGCCAAGGACAAATTTCCAACTAAACAGAAGAGAAATATAAGTCATATGAAATTTGCAAAGAAATATTTCTTCTCCTTGGTACCTGGTAAATATTACCATCCACAGATGGCCGTGTCCTTCTTACCCCTGGATCCTACAGGTCTCTTGTGGCAATAACCTCAAAGTCTATGTTGGCATACTTAACTTGTCCAACTATTCCCTCTAGATGCAAACTCCTCAAGAGAATGAGCTGTCACCTCTCATATATCCCCAAAAGAGCAGAGCACTCAACATCTGCTCTAAGTCTGTGTACAGAACTGAATTATCCAGATCGCTGGTTAATTCAGGCCTGGCCATCATGATTCAGTGGTTGAGTGTCGGCCTATGAACTGGGAGGTTATGTTCGATTCCTGGTCAGGGCACATGTCTAGGTTGCGGGCTCAATTCTCTCTCATCATTGATGTTTCTATCTCTCTCCCTCTCCCTTCCTCTCTAAAACTAATTATACACACACACACACACACACATATAATTATTTTTTAAAAATATATTTTATTGATTTTTTACAGAGAGGAAGAGAGAGGGATAGAGAGTTAGAAACATCGATGAAAGAGAATCATTGACCAGCTGCCTCTTGCACACCCCCTATTGGGGATGTGCCTGCAACCAAGGTACATGCCCTTGACCGGAATCGAACCCGGGAACTTTTCAGTCCGCAGGCTGACGCTCTATCCACTGAGCCAAACCGGTTTCAGCTAAAAATATATTTTAAACAAAAGAAAACTCAGAAGATCCGTATCTACATATCAACATCTATCTATATATATAAAAGCCTAAGCGACTGTATGACCGGTTGACCAGTTGCTATGATGCGCACTGACCACCAGGAGGCAGATGCTCAACGCAGGAGTTTTCCCTCAGTGGTCAGTGCGTCCCCACAGCGGGAGTGCTGCTTAGCTGTCCAAGCACAGCTGTGGCAACAGGCTCAGCAGGGCTGGGATGAGCGGGAGCGGCACGGCACCCAGCCTGGGCTGGGCTCCTCCCTGGCCGCCTGCGGCTTCATTCACTACTATAGCCCGCGGGGGAGGTCGGATTGCCGGTTTTGGCTGATTCCCGCAGAGCCAAAACCGGCAGTCAGACATCCCTTGAGGTCATGGGTTGTGAGAGGGCGCAGGCCAGGCTGAGGGACCCCATTGATGCACGAATCTGTGCACCGGGCCTCTAGTAAGATAATGATGGAGCTAGGCTTGTGAGGAAGAAACAAAGGTAGAGAAGGTTGAAGGTGTGTGTGTGTGTGTGTGTGTGTATGTGTACATATAAATATAGACACATATATACCTCTGCATGAAGTCATGGAGTTCTGGATTCACCTGGTCAATGATGGGCATTAGATAGTTTAATATATGTTTGGTGTTGTCCATTGTTGGATCCATGAAATCCCTAGAGGGAGACAATTCAATGAGTATGATCAGACCAAACACTTAGATAAGGGTGAGAATGGAATGGAGCTAACACCATTGAAAACAGTGATTAGAAATGGCCTGTGGAGTTACCCCAGGGGGTTTGGGAAGTGATGCCCAGCCTCCTGTATCCCTCTGTGCTGGTACCTGAGGTGGTGGGTAGATACTTTTTCTACCAGCGATGT